GACTTTATAGCACATTCAATTATAAAGTTGTGTTTTTCTCCTTCTTCTGACACAAGATGGTTTCCCAAGTAATTATGGGTTGGGACCTCCCCAGCTCCTATTAACCACTTTAGGTCTCTCCCAGTTTCCCTCTTCCATCTGTCACTGGGAATAGTTAGTCTTCAGGAAGGTCTTCTGCAAAAGCTCCTGCCAGCATAAGGCCAGTCCAATTAGTTGGAAAGTGATGGTTAGCTCTTACATGACGCTATTGTAAAAAAGGGGATAACTTAATATTCTTTTGAAAGAGTACTAGCACTGATTTTGGAAAGAGATTTAATCCTGTACAACAGTGGCCCCCAACCTTTTTTGTGCCACGGCCCGGTACCGGCATCACAAAATGATCCACGGCCTGGTACTGGCATCAGCATGCATGACAAGGCAAGGTGAGCTGAGCGACCAGCCAGCCAGCCGTCCCCCGCTTCTCCCTGCCACCTTCAACTCCTCCTTTGTACCTTTGTCGATGGGCTTCGCTTCGGGACGGCTTCGGGACAGTCGCTCGGCTCGCCTTGCCTTGGGTGCTGAAAGAATCCTCGTGCCTTAGTTTCGTTCGAAGCCCCCTCCTTCGATGAAACTAAGGCGCGAGGATTCCTTCAGGACCCAAACACCGCTTTCCAACCGGAAAAGCTCACCCGGAAGCACTTTCTCATCAAACAAGATGGCGGCGCCCAGCAAACCGGCGGCCCAGTAGGAAATGTTCCACAGACCGGTACCGGTCCGCGGCCCGGTGGTTGGGGACCCCTGCTGTACAACACAGAAAATTGACTGAAACTGGAAAAGAAGAATGGGTTCCATCAGCAGTGTTCATTCTTTCTTTCCAAAAGGAGAAAAAACATCTCCACTTAAAGAGCAGTAACAAAATACCAGCTGTGTATTGCTGGTTCTTTGGGTGTGATATTTTCTGTTGACAAGGAACTTTGCATGTCCACTTTATAATTATTTTTATTTCTTTCTGGGGATGGAAGAGTGATACCATTTTGTCCATCTTAATTAAGGTCATGGCAAAATTTTTGTTACAATGCAGAGGGAAATCATCACTGCATTTTCTTTATGCATTTTCTTCTTTATTCACAAGTTATTTCCCAATGCTTCCAGCCATCAAGATCAGAGCTGGGCTCTTTATCATTTACTGGGAGAAGTGCCATTATCTTGCAGCAGTAATTGAGGATGGAGCACATTTATTATTGATCATTTCTCTCCCACTTCAACCTATGCCACTTCTCCGCACCTTTTACCTGTCAGCCAGGCTATCTTTGATCATGGGTTTGGTATTTTTCCCCAAAGAGTGCTATATTTGTGATCAGAAATAGCTTGGCTAATAGATCATCTTGCATTGCAATTTAGTCAGTGTCTATGGATGCTACCTCAAGTTTCCACTTACAATTGTCCACTCCATTGGAAATGCTTGGTAAAAGTGGAAATGAAGCCAAAGGATCCATGAATCACATTGTTTAACTTGTCACCTATTTAATTAGTAAGTGAGTAGAATAAGTGGATTGGCACTGGCATTAAGGGCATTATAGTTCATTCTAGTATTCTTTCCTGCTGGTTCTAGGCCTGGAGGACAGCACTCCAGTGAAACCATTCTATTATGTCCAAAGAGTCTGAAGAGATTAAAAATCTTACTTATGCTTTGGAGGGCTGGGAGGATGGGGCAACACACTGGTAGATGGAACAGGACAAAGCCATTGGAGACGAAATTAGAGAGGGAATAGATCTGTGATTTTTCAGATGTTTCCATGAGGGAAAGGAAAACAGCTGCAGAGATGTTTGTTGCTTCATGTTTGATGAAGCATTGAGCAGCAAACTTCTCTGTCAGTCCCAATTATGAAGAATGCATATATCTTTCTGATCCATGTCACTTTTGCATCTTTAAGGAGGAGGAGGAGGAGATCATGTTTGCAAGATTATATTATTATAGTCTCTCTTTAAAAAATTACCGTGTTTCTCCAAAAAGAAGGCCTGCTCTTATTTTCTTTTGACCCCCCCCCCAAATGATTAGGCCTTCTTTTTGGAGGGTTCTAATTATTGATTCACCTCGTGGTGATGGCACCGACAACCCCACCCAGAAGGAGACCACTTCTTCCACGGCTGCTTGCCGCCGCTCACATGCATCGCCCCAGCCTCCATTTTGCTTTCAGATGCTTGTTGGAAGGCATCTGCAGCTGATAACAGAGTCTGGAGAAGAAGAAGTGGCTGCAGAAGAAGGCGAGGCAGGTAGCAGGATGTGTGAAGTTTGGTAAGTATAGCAGCTTCATCCCCCGCATCCCCACCCTAGCTTATTTTTTACCGGTGTGCCTCACCCCACTCTCTGGGGTGGGTGGGGTCTTAATTAGGGCTAATTTTGTGGGTGGGGCTTAATTTGATTGCAAGCCTCAAAAAATGTGATAGGGCTTCTTTTCAAGCCCTTTTTGGGTCATCTTTTTGGAGAAATATGGTAGTTTCAGCCTTCATGAAGAATTAGTTTTCTGGTCTGGTCCACCTAGAAGGGCTGACAATTAATTTGCCCAAAGTAAATTAGGCTACTCACTTAACATGCAAACTAAATGATTTTGTCCCCTGTGTAAAATCACGCAAAACATTACAAGTCTCTAAAGGCCTGACAACACTACTTTGTGGGTAAAAATGAGTCCTAACTACAATCTTCTGCAATATAGTGAGAATTCTTGGCAGATGGATCATCATTATAGGAATACTTTGCAAATATTAGTTAGTGTATTAATTTAGATGATTAAAGAATTTCCCCCCTTACAACCCATGCATAATATTAGCTTATGTTCAAATTTAATCTCTTTCATAATTTAATGTGAGAAATGTCCCTTTTAAGTAGAAGAGCCTTGTTTGACTTTTTGTATGTTGAACATCACAGTCCCTGTTATCTTTCTGATGTTTTCCTTGGAACTGAGAGCAGCTCTCTAATGGCAAAAGAACGTAACCAAAAAGACCAATTTTAACTGCAGTTTTGGCTTCAGTTTTACTAGCTGCTTTACAAAAAGAGAGCCCCTGTTCAAGTGAGACCTCTAGCTGTCTGTAAGCGTCATTAAATTTTGAAAATAAGTGGGGAAAGTCAGAAGTTGAAAACTAAAAAAAATTTTTTTGAAAGGCTAATTTGCAGGTAGCACTATAGTTTGACTGAAGTCTCTGCAATATAGATTTGACAACATAGGAGAGTCTATTGTATCAAGGCTAAAGAGGGCTGTATTGAATGTGGTATGTTGTTGTTCAGTTGCTAAATTGTGTCTGACTCTTCGTGACCCATGGACCGCAGCAAGCCAGGGCCCCATGTCCTCCACTGTCTCCTGCCCAAATTCATGTTCATTGTGTCAATGACACTATCAAACCATCTCATCTTCTGCTGTCCTCTTCTCCTTTTGCCTTCAATCTTTCCCAATATCAGGGTCTTTTCCAATGGGTCCTATTTTCTCATTAGGTGGCCAAAGTATTTCAGCTTCAGTATCTGTCCTCCCAAACATCAGCCAGAGTTTATTTTCTTTAGGATTGACTGATTTAATCCCCTTGCAATCCAAGGGACTCTCAAGAGTCTTTTCCAACACCACAAAAGCATCAATTCTTCGATGCTCAGCCTTCTCTATGGTAACATGGATATTATATATATATATGTAATGTGTGTGTGTGTGTGTGTGTGTGTGTGCACGCGCACGCGCATATAAGTGGAGTGGTATGACTACAAATGTATATATATATTTTTTTTTTTCTTAAGTTTTCGCGGGTACTTACATGTATGGTATTCAGCTTTGTTTGGGTATTTCCCCACGTCATTGTAGTTGTGCTTTTAAAGTTGTAGCAACGTTTCGGCAGAATCTCATCTGCCATCATCAGGCTTCTGTATAGTGTATTTATCTAGGTACAGAGTAAATGAATGCAATATATAGTCTTCTTGCCACTTTTGATTTTTCTTATCTTAAATTCTTGCTATTTCTGCCTTGGTTTGTAGCAGGTATTTTATGTTTATGGTTTGTTATTTTTAGTACTAAGGAGTTAGACAAGGATTAGACTCTCTCCTTATTTATTCAACCTCTATGCTGAGGATATATTGAGGGAGGATGGATTGGAAGAAGGTGAGTGAGGTTTTAAAACTGGAAGAAGAAACATCAATGATCGGTGCTGTGCTGATGACATGATTCTGATAGTTGAAATTACAAATGACCTGGGAGCTCTAGTAATGAAAGTCAAGCAGCACAGTGGAAGAAAAGGGCCTGGGATTAAACATAAAAAAGATCAGCCAAATGGCAGCGGTATAACAACCACCCTTAGAATTTATAATCAAGATAGTGAATGATGAATAATTTCTCTCCACCCCTCAAGGTGGGGCAAGTCAAGAAACTGACACCACAAGAACAATAGTTTTTATTATAGAGATAATAACAGAATATTGTCAGAATTAATGCCTGTTGTATCTTATCCCAAAGAGCATCTTTCCTAGCACTCAGTTGCCATTTCACCTCTCATAATGGTTCTTACTTTCTTTTACAGTTTCTATCTTTTGGAGTTATTATTATTATTATTATTACCTTTATTGTCAGAGTACAACTTGTGTACAATGAGATTGGTTGAGCCTCCCTTCGTGCACACACACCCAACACAACTCACAGTGAAGACAGAAGTCCGTAACCCAGTCCCAATCTTATTGCACCATGTAACCTTGCTGCACAATGCGCTGGCCCCAGAAGTCTATCATACTGTGTTGACATGAAGTTATTTTCCATTCAGAAGTCTGACAGCCCATGAGTAGAAACTGTTCTTCAGCCTGTTGGTGCAGCTGGCTATGCCTCTATATCTCCTAATCGAAGGTGGGAGAGTGAAGAAGTGCTGACCAGGATGTGAGCCATCCCTGAGAATTTTCCTCACTCTTCTGAGGCACACAAGCCCTAGCGATGTTATCTGGTCAGTGGTATCAGGGAACAGGCCACGATGTTTTGTGCTATGCTCACCACCCTCTGTAATGTCTTTCTATCCATGGCTGTCAAGCCAGTATATCACACTGTAATACAATATGTGAGGATGCTTTCTGTTGTGGACCAGTAAAAAGAGGTCATCAGTCATTGTTCCACTTTATTCTTTTGCAAGGCCCTAAGGAAATGGATTCTCTGTTGGGCCCTTCTGGCCAGCTGGGTTGTATTGATTTTCCAGGTGAGATCTTCACTGAGGTAGACTCCCAGGAATTTAAAGGAGGAAACTCTCTCTACACAGCCCCACTCGATGTAAAGTGGGGCCGGTTCCTCTCTCTTCTTCCGGAAGTCTAACACCATCTCCTTTGTCTTGCTGATGTTTAGGTGCCAATTGTTTCCTAGGCACCATGAGGATAATTTTTGAACCTCCCCCCGTATGCTGTTTCGTCTCCACCTGTAATGAGATCCAATATGGTAGTATCATCTGCGAGCTTAATGATCACAGTGGATGGGTCAGACAATACACAATCATGTGTGTACAGTGAGTACAGGTAGGGACTGAGCACACAGCCCTGTGGGAAGCCAGTGCTTAGCTTCAGGGAAGTGGATGTGACAGACCCAGCCCTCACTGTTTGTGGTCAGTCCCTCAGAAGGTCTTTGATCCAGTCACAGATGGAAGAGGGAAAATCCAAGTCAGCTTTTTGATAAGGATGCTCAGCAGGATAGTATCCTGACATAATTTCTGGGTTTCTCCAAATGGCTCGCTACATAGTGTAAGGCAGTAGCTATGGCATCTTCTGTTGACCTGTCCCCCCTGTAGGCAAATTGATGTTTGTCAAAGTCTGGTGGGGGCATGTCCTAAAGTGTTGGAGAGCCAATCTTTCGAAGCTTTTCATCACTACTGACTTTAACACGATAGGTCTGTAGTCATTTAGGCAGTAATTGTTTTCTTCTGGACTGGGACAATAGTGGCTGTTTTCAAGCATGATGGAAGACAGGCTATTTGCAGGGAAATGTTAAAGATCTTTGTCAGGACGCCTGCTAAATGATCGGCACAAGTCTTTACCACTATCATCTTACAGCACCTCATCTGGACCTACAGCTTCACTAGGATTCACAGCCTTCAGTGCATCTCTCACTTGATGTTCGTATAGGGTGAGTGGCTGGGAATCAGAAGACTGGCAGGCACAGGCTATGGGGTCTGGTCTTTTCACCTCCTGGTGGGCAAAGAAGATGTTCAACTTCTCTATCAATGAGGAGTCAGCATTGACCAGGTTTGTCTGCAATCTAGAAATATGTCATAAACTACTATTTGGAGGGGTAGCAATGAAGGTCCTGGAAAAGATATGTAGACCAATGACCTGTCTATAACTACAGAGGTCAGAATCATGCAGGCAGTGGTTTTGTTTGTGACACTGTATGTGAGTGCCCTGGTGTTCCATCTAAGTAGAGAGGTTGGTCTAAGAGTGAAAGGGCTCTATGTCATTTCATTGTGATAGGCAGATTATTCTATAGTCAGCCTTAGGCTGATTGCTGATTTGAATCTCCACAGGAATCAAGATCTGGTTAAAACTGGTGAGCCAGATGGTTGATTCAAATGGATTCCCAAATACATTTTTGGAGAACTTCCTCTGGCTGCTTCTTCTTTCAACACTCTAGCCAAGCTGTGAAATACGAAGAAGACCTGGGCAGTAGATACGATTGCTCCCAAGTGCCTCTGTTCTTTCACAGATCCACATCAACCCCATAGTTTGGGGGAGGGGGGGGACACATAAGATTTCTTCCACTTGTTTGACTGCAGGTGGCAGAAATTCCAAGGTGTATTTCATTGAGCGTAGAGAAAATTCCATTTGGAGTATTCTACTGTTTGCAGTGGAGGTTTTAAATCATGCCTATTTCTATGCTTCTATTGTATTTATACAGAATACATCCATATTATTTTTCCACACTGTATGTCACTTGGTTTATTGGGAAGTGGGAGTCAGAGCAATTGGTGGCTTGTTTTGAGCAGTTTGCCATATTCTTTGTGGATAATGTTGCTCAAATTCATCTCAACTTAAACTTCAATGTTAGGACAGGCTATTATGTTCTAACCTGAGCAACTGTTTGTCCTGTTGTATTGGATTCTTTTCAGCAAAGAAGTGGGCAAGGTATAGAACGGAAAAGCACCAAGGTCTTTCATCAAACCATGTACCTCCTAAGAACTGGAGTCATGGTTTAGAGCAGTGTTTTTCAAACTTATGGACTTCAACTCCCAAAATTCTTAAGTTGCCACATTTGAAAACCACTAATGTAGAGAGATAATTAATACTTCCCCCATCTCTTTCTATCAAAAAGACAGGAAGACAAATGTATATAATAACTGGGAAAAGATTTGGCTAGCCTATATATAATACATCATACTTTTTTTTCTGGCTAAATTATTCAAAAGTAAAATATCATCTTGACAAATGATCTATATACTAAGAACTGCACAAGTTTATCAGCCCTACTGATCCTATTACTGCTAGCCATGTATCTTTCTGGATCTTCTATTAGGAATGGACTTTGCGAAAATTATTTTACTGTAAAGCTGAGTCTACAGCATGATATTTCATGATTATTACTTGGCATCTAATCCAGTAGCCTGTAATATTCCACACATTCAAAATGTAATTCCTTAAAATGAGCACCGGGAATATATGCATGAGGTGATATGCAGGAAACTGGTGATATTGACTTGTATCTTTAAGGAATTAATGGATTTTCTGAGTGGAGCTAGGTGAAACTAAATGGATACGGGATAAGCTGAACTTATATCCAGTCAAGACCAAGGAAATCAGTTTCTGGAATTGTGGTCAGTTTATTCTAAGTGAATTTGCGTTTCCCCCAGAAGGGTAGGTGCACAGTTTGGGAATAACCCAATAGCACTTATGCCCTACTGACCTGGCAACCAATAGTTGATTTTAAGCTTTTATATGAGTTGTTTTCTTTTTCAGTGTTAGGTTCACAGCAGAAAACCAAGCTATATAAATTATTATATACACAAGAATGCGAAATTATACCTGCCAGATCTTTAGATGGTGTTGGCCTTCATATACATTGAGTTCCCAAGAACCTATAATATAATGTATTATATAGTATAGAGCATAGTATATTTGTGGAACCAAACTGTGTGGCCATTTGTAAGTGACAAACGGAAATTTGTCTTTGTGTAGATGTTTTTATGAGCTGTCCAAGATTTTATTTGGTAGGGCACCCATTGTGCCGATAACCACTGGGACCATATTATCCATAATCAGTCAACTTCAATTTTCAGATCTCAGTACTTTGTGATCTTCTCCAATTCTTTGTCTTCTATTCTACTATCCTGTGATATTTTCACATGAGTTATCTACACATTCTTCTTTTCAACTGGTTAAATCTGCTACGTTATGTGCCAAGACTTTACCAGTTTGAATTCAGAAATTCCACAATATTTTAACCTGCTCATTTTCAACTACTATTTTTCAGTATTCACAGGCGGATAACTTGCCTTTTCTTAATATGTACAATTATTTGGGTTCAATTTCTATTAAGTTCAATTGGTCTTATTTTCAGCATACAGGAATTTAGATTGTAGTCTTAAATAGTGTTGTTGTTTTTACTTGCAACTGTTTCTCTGTAGTATGGCTTCTGCTGTATCTATTTTCTCATACCAGAAGTCAACACTCACATAAAAAGACAACAGGGTAAAGCTATTTTTTACTATTGTGGTTGGTTTTTTTGAAAGTTAACAATAACATGAGAAACAATTACACCTTAGCCATAGCTCTAACAATCAGTTCTTGAACACTAGAGAACTTCACTGGATTATATTTGAGTAGGTTCTGGCTTATATGGACAACTGAACTGACATTCAAGTAAAAAGGAACATCTGGAAGTTGGAAAGGAGGGAAATGCAAGACTGCATGTGGAGAGAGCCAGTCCCTTTTCCTGTTGAAGTCACTATGACAATATCTGAACAGGTCTAGTGTAAAATATTCATTTACATATCATCTTTTTATTATATCTTTTATATTTAAAAAGTATGTTTTTTTAAAAAAATCAGGCATAAAATTTAAAAAGAAATCTGTAAGGATTTTGACATGGTTTGAGTCCTTAGAGAAAAGTTTTGAAGATTGCATTGAATTTAGCTTACATAATCTTTGCTCCCTAAGGAACATGGAAAACATGATTGTAAAGTATTCATTTGAAAGGTTAGGTCAAAGTGGGATGCTGCATATATTTGAGAGCTTGTTCCACTGACGTGGTTGTGGCAGGACTGAAATAAACCAGTAATTCTGGATAAATTGGCTATATCTTAGCTAATATGAAGAAAGAGAGCCTTTGATTAGAAAGCTTTATGAATCATTGTAAATGGAGAAAAATGTCAACTAACGAAAAGAAAATGTTGATGCTTTGAAGCTATTTTATGTGAAAGAATGACAAATATGGATAGCGGTTGTTTATAGACTCGCTTTGCCTCTGCTAAAACAGTATGATAAACTTGTTTATTCTGTTGGCCACATTTATATTTCTGAACTTCATCATCTCGCTTATCTTCCTTTCAATAAGTAAGCCTGGCTCAAGAAGAGTACACATACTCAGAAAAGGAGGGAGGGAAGATGACCTTTTTGTCTTTCAAAACTCTGCCAATAATATGCTAATCTAGAGCTAAAATTAAAGTGAAATAAATCGTTCAACATATGCAGAATCCTTCTGCCAGTGCCATAAAGCCTCCCTTCCCAAGTGCAGCTTGGCTTCTGGGCCTGTTGGGGCTATAGAGAGCACTGGCAGAGAGTCTGCAATGGGAGTTAAGCAGAGAAAGTGTTTTATTTTGGTTTTGGATCTCTTATGGCTCCTCAGTAGATTTCTGTCCTGTTGTCCATAGAATATTCCTGGATTACTTTGAGTAGATTTATTTATTTAGCGTATGGCAAATGCATGGACTTATAGTAATTCAAATGTTAATGTCCAGTCCACCCAGCCATTCAAGGACAGGGTGGTCTATGTTGAAAAAAATTGGGCTGATGTAAGCTCTTGATGGACATTCAGACACAATGTGAGGGATATTTTGTTGAGAAGGACCACAGTCACACTGAGGGGTAGAGATAAGACCCCACTTAAACAACGAATCCTGGAAGACACCATGTTGGGTACCATGTTGACCAATGCTGGCGATGAAGATCAAAACCTGGTACCTTTTGTATAAGGTCATAAACTTTGAGTAATTTAGTTTATTGCCATTGCACC